ATCTTGAAATTGGCAAGGCATAGTCAGTTTCAGACCTGCTAATAACACAGCATTGACAGAGACTGAGGTGGTCTAGGCCCACTCCCAATATCAAGCAATTCTCTGATCACCAAATAAACTAACCACATGTAACTAAGATTGTACCATCTTCTTTCCTTTCCTGTTTTACTTGGATTTCCTCATGATTTTAGAGACTTCCTTGAACACTGCTGAACCCAATGGTTCTCAACTTCATTAGATTCAAAACACCCCTGGGAAAATGCCAGCTCCTCAGGTTTCACTTATTTTTGACTACAGAAAAACAATAAGAGCAGTTCCTTCACTGTTGGAAAGAACTCCAAAAGACCAAACGAGGTCAGAATATTTTTGCCACTATGGATTCCTACAAGAAATTTCTGGGTTTATTTTGTAATCATATGCAGGTATTTGCACACCTAACAGTGCTAATATTGAGCATGCCCCCCACAGCACTCTGGGTGAGAATCAGCGACCTAACCTAATAAACGTGTGGAGAGGACATGCAATAATTATGCAAGAAGATTACTAATATCTCACGTTTCTGTAGCAATTAATGTATTTTAATGAGTGGCTTACAAGGAAACAGATTTTAAAAGGCATGTACAGTGCCTCCCCACCAGCACTATATTTGTACAGAGTAAAGGTAGTTATTTGGATGCTGTAACCCTGCATTTTCAAACCTTTTAAGTTTAAACCTTAAAACTCCACTTCCTGGCTTTGCAATACCTGTTTCTGGTATAGTTACCTTATTGTAATTTTCACCCCTTATGTACTCTCAGCTGTAACTCCATCTTAATGTGATTTTTTTTGTCTGGAAATTATCTTGCTTTTTATAAAATATTAAAAGCTTCCAATATGAGCACTGAACAAGAAACATTACCATTAATAAGCTTTAATGCACAGCAAAAGTCTATAAGTGGTTTGGGAAGCACAGTACAAAATCTTTCAGGATTTGTAAAGCTTTCCAAGCACTGTTCTGCAGAGTGACTGGGGAGAAAAAATGTATTTCATGTTGTTCACAAAGGAAGCACAAAGAATACAGATGAGTCACAGCAAGTATAACAATGAACTGCTTGATGTGTGTTTGTATGAGCTTTGGCAGTACCACCAGATTACCACAATTCCTTCATCTAATATTTTAAACAGCACAACAGAACCTAAGCATTCAATGGAAATGCTTCATGTTGTGCCATCCCATTGCCTGGATTCACGTGGGCTGCTTCACTTCACCCATTACTGTATTACATCAGTGCTTAGGAATGAACAACTAGCAAAATACTTGACCACTATGTGAAGGCCCCAAAAGATGTGTAAGGTGCAATGAGAAGATTCTCCAAAGGTGGGTTCTTGAGGCACCCATCCTACCATTACATAGTGTGGCAGAATGTCACCTCTGTCTCTCCCCAGAAACTCTGCTCTGTGACAGTTTGGTTAATATGGGCTCTTTAGATAACCCTGAGCTGTAACCTGAGTTGGATACATTCCTGAGGGAGGCGGGAAACCTGCTTCTTCTGCTTATGTCTGGCATCACATACCTGGATGAGGGGCTTATGCTCCCTACTGTTAAGCAATGCCAACCTGATTGGGAGGGGGCTACAGACTCTGCCAGTCTGCCCAGCAACCAGTGATGCATTTCAAATTGGTTGGCTGGCAGCCAGCCAACAGGTGCTGCCCTCTATTGGACCAAGTAAATGAGGTCATAAGGGCTCTATAAAGGACTGCCCAGGAGGAGAGGGAGTAGCCATGGTGAAAACTGGGAGAGAAGAGCTGGACCATCTGAAACTTGCTCTCTCTGGAAACTCATGATCAGTGAGCTGCCTTGCTCCAGATGGAATCTCCACCTGCCTCTAGATGATGCTTGAAGTAAGCTACCTGAGATCTAACTAGATATATAGCTTGCAGTAACTCAGATGCATGACCAAAGGCTACCCAGCCAGTCTGTTTGCGCTAAGGGTTTTCTCTGATATTGCTCTACTCTGTACCCTATTCTAGCCCTACTCCTTGTAACCAATAAAGTTCTCCTTTGTACCTAGTGTGGGAGACTTACTGGGAGTGGGTCTAGCTTATGCCTTGGGGTCCAGTTGGTTCAGCTGACTAAGGGAGACCACTATTTGTGCTTGAGACTGAGGGAAGCACCCCAAGTTCTTGAAGTGAGTCGACTACCCTCAAGGGCTACTAGGCCTGTGTTTCTCAGGGAGCACAGTGCCAGGATCAGGCCAGTCCCTGGGTGGTGGCAGCTGTAGCTCCAGGCTAGTGGGTGTGCTCCAGGAAGGGGGTCAGTCAGACGCAAGATGCCCCCAGGGAGGCACCTGGAACCTGGAAGGTGGTTGGGCGCAGTGAGGTGAGTGGCTCAGTGCAGGAGCACCCCCTACTGGCCCACCACACATGGCACCATCAGACATTTTCTGGGAGCCCTGTACTATCTCTTCTATGGAGCAGCCAAAGGTCTTATTTAACTGTTCTAGTTTGTTCTCTTAAGATATCATTTATAATCTCTCTGAAGAAAGAAAACCTCTCTTTAAAAGCATGGTTTCTATTTGCTGAAAAGTTGTATTTCTTCTCTAAATATGTGAAATGAAACGTGGGTGCGGAATGCACACTGTCCAAATTCGTTACTATGGCTTTGTTGTTTAATAATTTGTGATTTTGCACCATTTCTTCTCATCACAGTCCTTCGACCAGATCTTAATATCATGAAGTAACTCTGGAAATAGCACTGGGCTTTCTCTACTGCCAATTCAGCAACACAACATAAAAGACCGTTCAGGTTTTTCTCCTACATTCTAACCATTATAAAGAATGGAGGTATCACTTTTGGAAGTGCAGAATAACTATTGTGGCCCAGTAACAGACACAGAGAAAGCAAGGATGATTTTCAAGGGAACCAAGCAATTCATTCAGTTCTTCTTCCTGATATGGACTCTGTTTTATACCTGTCCTGGCCATACTAAGCTAAGGACTTTGCTTGCTATGTTCCAGTCAACCATAAATAGTAGACCATTTTGGAAATGCTGTCATGTTCCTGCAATTGCTTCTAGTTATAATACTTTCCCTGAAAGGTTAAGTCTCCATTTGGAGCTGAACTAACTGGAATTCACTGCTGGGTCACAGAGCTGTTAACTCAGAGGCCCAGTCTCAGTGCTGAAAGCGCCATGGGACTGTCACCTGCAGAAAAGTTAGGCCTGGGGTGAGACTGTATAAAGGCTGTGGTCTTGAGCAAAAACTCTAGTATATCCATGGCACCAGGAAATGTGTCTGACACTCCTTGAAGGACTAAGAATAGAAACATCAACATCATCATCTGAAGCGAACAATTCTGACCCACACTAATCTACTGGTCTACTCTAATGCACCAACAGGTTTTCCACCAAGGGGCCTACTGGGAGGCGAGGTTTAAGAGTTGCTGATGAGTCTGCAGCTTCTCAGTCTGAGTGCACAGCTAAGAAATGGAAAAGCCTATTTAAGAGCAGGATTATGTTCTGTGCACAAGACTGACCATCACTGCATGTAAGTAGGATGTGTAGGAAAGCGATGGTGGCAGGGGCCCTGATGACCCACAGATAAACAGAAAGGATGAGTGAGGCTGAATTCCCAACACTTGTGTTTTCTGCAAAGTGGCGTGACTATCAAGTATTTGTTATGAATCAAGTCAGTGTGGTTGAGAAATTCCTCTGTTAAGCCTGGGTTCCTGGCTTTCCTGCCACACTGCTCCCAAGGGTTTCAACTGTAAACCCAGAGAGACCCTCGACTAAACAGAATTCAGCAGAAGAATGTTTAACAACAAACTAGTGGTCTCAGAGGTCTCAAATACTAATTTTAGCATATATGGTAACTAGGCAGAAAGGGCTTGGTCAACAGATCTGAGCCCAGAAGTGCATCCTACAGTCCAGGAAGAAAGAATGACTAGATCTTAGCCAGACTAACTTGACTTGAAAGCGCATGGGACCCAGCAACTGGGACTGTAGGACTCTTGGGTAATCATACAGAGAGGTACTAGGCCAGGGCTGGTCTTCTTAAATTCAGTCTGTGTCGCCCTTGGTGCAAAGAACAAGGAGGATTTATGTACAACAGGGATGACTGCACTGTGGAGAAAAATACCTTTTACCTTCATTCCTACCTAAGCTTAGCCTCTCTACCCTTCAGCCAAAGGGCTTAGCATAAAATCATAGGGCTGGAGGGGACCTCAAGAGGTCATCCAGTCCAATCCTGTTCAAAGCAGAATCACACTTATGGAGTATCATGCACTAGATCTTGTAACTGAAGCAGGGATTTTTAAATTGAGTTATCAAAAGTTATTGGCCTATGCAGTTGTGGATTCCCTGGTTCCTCAGCTACAGCAGATACCCAACTAGTGTTGACTCATTAGAAAGCTGGCTTCCTACATGTTGACATCTTTTTATCGGTTGAAACACAACAGTAAATTTCATTGACCTCTTGGGGAGGCTACAAGCTCATTAGCTACTCACTGAACAGCAGTAGCTGTTATTTGATGTTCAGATGTTTCAAAATACTATTTGCCTTATCTCTACATTTTGCCACACAGGAAAAGATACAATTCATGCAGCCCAACCATTTGCCTAGACCATAGAGTCAGCAACATTTTGCAGTACAGGGCCACTTCAACGGAGCTCAGCTCCAAACACAAGCCAGACCACAATGCTGTCAGTCAGGACCAGAGACACAGCCACCTTCACCACTCCCCGTGGCTGCAACACTGTCACTTCTCCAACACCCAGGAGAAGCCACCCACTACTAAAACGTTGCCACAGGCCATATGAAATAGCTCTGCAGATTGGATCTAACCCATGGGCCACAGGTTGCTGACATCTGGCCTAGACTCTAAGCGAACGTGCAGCCACACAGTCTAGGAAGAGAAAATCCAGATGCCTGTAAAATACATTTGTTTGCAATTTGAACACCTACTGTCAGAGCAAGTTAACTACAAGGTGGAGAAATGGACAACAAACAAAACACATGCTCACTGTGCACAATGAGGTTTCATCTCCGATTCTCACTCGGTTCACACTCAGTAACTGCTCCAAAAGATTAATCCTGTGCAGAAGCCAGGAAAATGCCAGCAACAGCTCCCGGCTACCCACAGAGCCATCAGAAGGAAGCTGATAGAATTCTGGCCTGCCATAGCCATGGTACCGCAGCACTGACTTCACAAATCTGATCTGGGTGTCTGGAAAAAAGAAAATAAAAATTCATATCACAATGTACTTCCCAATACATTTGCCCACTTGCTTGCAAGAAACAAAGAATCACTGAAATGTACGCCTGCAGGGATCTCAAGTGATCTTACTGCACTGAGGCAGTAATGAGTATGCTAAGACCATCCCCAACAAAATGTCTGTCTAAAGAGCTCTTTAAAACTTCCAGTAAAGGGGAGTCTATGGCCTCAGAGCTCGTTATTCCAACATTACACTCTCATAACTTGCTCAGTAATAACTTAGTTCTACACCCTTGTACAGATGGCGAGAAAAGGCGTTTGAAATTCTTCTCCCCAGTTTGGTTTTTAAAACCCTTCAATGCACCTGTAGGTTCATACTATGCCCCTAGCCATTACTGAACCAAACATAAGCCAGCATTGATGTTTCCTCAATCTCTCCCTTTTCTGCTCTTGTCTAAATTCCCTCCTATGAAAAAGATTGTTTTCCTGATATTGCTGTGCTCAAAAGTGCAAATTAAAACAAAAGACCAAGAATCTCTTCTCTCTGATACTAAAATGACCATGTACATGTGGTGCACACCCATGCACTGTAAAACCTTCATCACCACCATTCAACATTACAAATTCATGCCTATGTTTCAGCGGTGATCAGAGACAGCATCTGTCCTTTGCTGTAGTTTAGGTTTCTCCTTCCCATTGACTATGAAAGTTTCTTGCTTCTATTGCCTAGAGGCAATGTTCTGCAAGCCCTGCTACTGCTGGTGAGCAGCTATTCACTGAAAACAGAGCTGCTAGCTTGTTTAACTGCTGACCTAAAGCCAGATTGTGCTTTTCCAAAAGCCCCAAGCCTGAGGCAGACAAGAGACCAGATGGTGACTCTTGCAATCTGATGAACCTTTTCCTAGCCCTGACTGCTGACCCCAGCATGCCAGCCAAAAGCAAATACCTGCCTTATCCCAGCCCGTCTATTGACTCACTGCCTACACAGAGGAGAACAGTAAAAGCTTCTCAAAGACTGTTCCCTCAATGCAGAGAACCCCAGAATGAAAGAAGGGGAATTTTACCTCTCTTTACTTTCTGACACAATTATGTAAGATGGCTTGCAACTAAGCCCTTATAAAATTACAAAATGGTTATAAAAACTGGTTTGGAATAGATTAGCTGCAGTGTGCCCTGCCACATCTCTAAACTGTCCAGGTTCCCATAGTACTCAGTGTCTAATGCATACCCAACTTCCACAACAAACTCCATATATTCCTGGGTATTTGTAAAACTATAAGTGATGTTGTCCACTCAGGTGGGATCATGTTATGCACAACTGCTGCCATGCATCCACAGGAAGGGCCAGTTAAGGTTGCAGTGGGAGTTGAATTGCTTTTTGTATAAGATCAGAAAAGTCACTTGGTCTCTCTATGCCTCAGATCTCCCTCTGTAACATGCTGAACAATACCAGAGAAACTGCATATATGGAACATTAGGATTTTGGTGTGATATATTAGATAAAAAGGATGGCCTCAGGGTACTAACACTGGCCTGGGACTTGGGAGGCATGGGTTCAGTGTCCTGTTCTTCCCCAGATTCTATGTGATGTTCAGCAAGTCACTTTCGCTGAGTCTACACTGACAGGCTCAACTTTGAGGCTTCCCTTTCCTGTCAATAGCATACCTTGTAGACAGCACAAAGCTATCCACATTGTGGTTCTCCTTGTGCATGGCACTAACATGTATTCCAGGACCCCTTTACATAGTGCAGGTAAAGGCGAAATGAGATCTAATGCATGATCTACAAAATCGTGCCTCCAACTATGCCACGTGCATAGCAGGAAACATGATTCTGGGATCACACATTAGATCCCATCATATCTCATTGCTGGTGCAGGGTGAGCCCAATCCCAGGTTCCCCCTGCACCTTCAAGGAAGCTCTCACAGCTGGGACTCCATGCACCCCCATAGCTGGGAGACTATAGCTGCTCCAATCTCCCAGCCAAAGAGACCCTCATGCACCCCCACAGCTGGGAGATCACAGTAGTTATGGTCTCCCAGCTGCAGGGGTATGTGGGGTCCCACATGACTGGGAGATCACAGCAACGACAGTCTCCCAGCCCCCTGTATCTGGGAGCCCTGTTAGCTGGGGGTTCCCAGGCTGGGGAATGCACAGGAGACCCCCAGCTGGGAGCTCCAATCACTTTAAATTTGTAGCTGAGTTTAACTTTGTAACTCACTAATAACTTTGTAGCTTATTCTTCTTTTTATCTCACCACTGTGTGGCCAGCTGATCACTAAAGGTGTGATCAACTGCCTAGTCATGCCTTACATGTAACATGCACATGAAGCCCCAGGTTCCCCAAGAGAGCTATTTTAGGAATCCAACTGAGGATTGATCATCTCTGCTTCTGAACAAAAGAAAGAGGCTGCAGAAGGGCCAAAAGTCAGATACAGGGAATTGTGGGTCAGTGCTACTGATAGACTTCCTATGCTCAGGGCCTTCAAAGGGAGTGAAGAACAAGTAGAGCCATGAAGTAAATGGGGACAGAGTCAACTTCATACCCACAAATTCAGCAAAGCTTCCAGGGTCAAGCTGAACTGTTGCCAGGGGTTGAGCTAAGGGACTTATAGCAAACAGATAGCAAGTATGGGCTTAAGGTCAAACATGGAAGAGCAAACAGCCTTTGTTTTCCCCATTTTGACAACTGAGATAATAGCCAGGCCCCATGAGAATGGGAGTATAAGTACTCAAGCAGTCAACCAAAAACAGCACAATACTCAAAATACCTCAAGGAAAGAGAAAAATTCTGCTTATGTCAGCTGCTAATGCCACTTGCTGCAATACCTGCTCTTTGCCAACACTTTACTAAGGTACTTCATTAAGATAAAGCAATTTGCACAGAACAGTTTTGTGGCTCTTTCTAATAAATCCTCCTCTGCACGTGCATTTCATTGGCAAGAACAAGTTCAGCAACTAAAGGCCAAGCTGTGATTTAACCTCAGGGCTCAGCTCTGCTCATATCATGTTCAAGCTGCGCTCGTTTACTTTACGAAGCCTGCAGAACCCTTCCAATGAATTACAGCTCAGTATTCAGTAGAGAGCTATGCATTACTCTGGGCCCATGCAGGCTACAGAACGAAAAAACATGAGCCAAGACTAGGGATGAAAACAGAAACATTAGTTCATGCATTCAGGCAAGAAACACCTGTAGATGTGCCACAAACCATAATTATTATGAGAAACTAGCACTGCAGAAGAACTATTCCTGTTTCATGTGTCAGATGAGAAAGAAATAAAGCAGCTACAGAGCTCTTTCTGGAAGTATTACAACTGAACTGCTATACCAGAAAAAATAACTGACGTGTCGAAAGACATATCTGATGAGTTTGATTTGCTTTATTTTTCTTCTTAAAATAATTCATGCAGATTAAGCACTGATGGAAAGAGCAGCAGAAAGGCACTGGTCATGACACTCAACTGTTAAACTTTATTCCCAGAGTTCCAATACAAGGCTTACTTTGCCTCACACTTCAATTTTCCTGATGAACGAACCATTGTTCTGAAATTTAAGCAACTAGTGCACATGAGCTTTTCCCCTAGAAGCTTAGAAGATATTTATGAGAAAAAAAGGCAAGAAAACAGTTCTCTTCCAAAACAAGAAAGAGGAGGAACACCTTCCAGGAATACTAGTTTTGTTCCATCCGAAGATGCAACGGTTCATTTTAAACACAGTCACGCACAGAATAGTTAATCTTTAAATGTTTTCCCAAAATGTAAGTCATGCCACTATGTGGGAGCACAATTCAGCCATTAAAAACATGACACAGAAGCTTTTATTACAGAAATTATAATACCCACTAATCACTCTGTAATTACATATATAGGAAGAGGCTCAAGAACTGAGATGCTAACTCCAATTCAGGGTCTGGTCTCTGATACAAATCTGAGGGTCATTTCCTCAAAATGACTGCAAAAATAAAGTCTTGCCCAAAATAGCAGTCCTGCCCTTTTTCCAAATTTTAGGAAATTACCACTTTTTCAGTACACAAATCAAGAGAAAATGAAGGATGGAAACTACAGGATCACTGAGATCTGCTACTTAGATCCAGTATCCAGCCACCATAACCAGCTCCCAAACCTAACAGCAGAAGGTTCTTAAAAGTTAGATTTGATCCTATGGAATGCTAGAAAGGATTGCTACAGGGGAACTGTTCTTTTTTCCAGCTCAGCCACAGACTTCCAAATCATTTAACTTCTTGGCGTTTTTCTGCTCCTTCCCCAAGCTGTAGGCTTGTTTAGGCCCAAGAAGTGTACCAATTTAAAGAGAGAGGAGCATTCTAGGACTCTAAGAGGATCTCACATTCACATCAATGTGGCTCTAGTGAGGAGGCACTCTGGAGGGGCTGAGACAGGGGTATCGTCTGGGGAAGGCATGAACCTGGAGGAACAGCATGCATTTAAATAGCAGGTAAAAATTGTATTTGACAAGGCAGTAGCTGTTTGCAGACCCAACCTATGTGCAGGCTGTCTCTGCAACATGGTTGCTGTCTACTGCTGTAGTTTACAGCCTCTCCAAAAACTACGCACACAGTGGATGTTTTCCTCCTCATTCCAAAACTTGGCTTCAAAATGTTAGCTTTATAGCTTTGGTGCACAGCACATCTGTTATAAACCACCGTTCTTAAGCAGGACTTGATGTCAATTTACCATAGGGTCAAGTGTCATTTTTAGAATGGGAAAATAATGAGAGATTAGAGGGGACGTAAACCTATTTTCTGTAATTACCTCTATGTACTCTGGGGACTTCTCCAGCCAATGCAGAGTTTAAACACAGCTACTGTGACTAAGGCCCTGATAAAATGCCCATGAGAAGCAAGAGCCTCCAGCAGATGAGAGAATATCCAATTTGCCTGACTAAAACCTCATTAACAAGGATAAAACAAGCCCAGTATAAATCAGCAGGCTCTGAGAAGCAATTCCATCTGCACAGCTCTGATGTAAGTAAGAATTGGGGTCAATGAGATAAACAAAATTATCCAGAATGGGACCTGTGTCCCATTCTGAGTAAATCCAGCTCAGGTCATGTCCAGAAACAGACACAATACCTGGGTAGACAAGAAATGCATTACCTATGGTGTCAGACTTAGTGCATCCTCCCTCATGTATTTGTTTCAGAAGAGAATAGAGCAGCCTCCAGAGCTCTGGGCTCTGCAAAAACAAAAAAAAAAATCCAGAAAAATTAGCATTCACAAGAATTGCCACATATTTATCTGTAATTCTCCAAAAGTCCAGCACTGGTTGTTGCCTGGAATAATACAGTGGTAGCCAGCAATAGCTCTTATAGCAGGTAGGCTCTTGCAGTGTCTTACTTCCTTGGGGTGCTTGCAACAGCATTGGGGATATGCATTTAAGAAACAACAGAATTACAGGATTAATGACTGCACAGGGCAACTGAGCATCTAGGAATGGTATGACACAGTTCCTAGCAGCTGTGTCCTACGAACTGTTTGGCACTTCCACACAGCAGCAGTCCTCCTAAAATGGCCACTTCAGTGCAGCACAACTTCAACTGTATTTGAACCAGAGTTTTATTAGATACTTGAAAGACTCTCTATGCAGCAGGTGTTTCTAGGTAATCTGTATATAAGGCACTACACAAAAGGCTGGGGTTAAGTCCATAACCATTAGGACATCCGGCTCAATGGATCCGAGTGACAAAGAATTCCTGCCCACACTAGGAAAATCCGGCTGCAGACCACATCAGTTTGACCCCACACAGCAGATACTGCAACAAATGCATGTAATGCCTAGAAGAGTTGGCAGGCTGGGCAAGCAGTTTCCTACATACAACACAGGGTTGAGCCCTTCCCCCCACCTCCCCAAACCAAGGTCATTCTGAAAAACCCTAATACAAAAAGGGCCCAAGGCAGTTCCTGACAAAGAGAGGGAAGTACACCCTGAATAACACCAAATAAACCTGAGCAACATTTTTAAGAAAAGAAAATAATTTCCAAAATATGCTCCCAAGACAGAGACATCTTAGAACTTCTGGGCAGGTTTCTAAGCAAGAAAAGCTAAAAGAGAACATTTGCAGGAAGGGAAGGCAGAGGGCAGCATAGAGTAAAGGAGCTGTACATTGTTCCCAGTTAGCAAAAGTGCTTCCTTCCAATGTTAAAGATGTTTGTGCAGTTCTATTCATGTGGTCTGTCCACAGAATTCTGGGGCTGCCATTAGAACCTGCGGAAATGAGGCAGGGAGCAGTCAATTTTAGGACTGCTAATATTATAGCAGTTTTGTACATAATGCTTATACAGTACTACGCACTGTCAGTGCCGGGGTATTAGCAATCCCTCCCCACACAAAAGGAAGAGGGCTAATCCATTTCAAGGCTGGTAATATGACAGGCGACAGGGCTGCATACCCCCTAAATTTTGGTTGCTTATATTAGGTACAGACAAGCACCTACTCCAGATACGCACATAGCCTTTTTTTCAGTCCTGAGGCTACTTACTTAAACAGAGTCCTCTATATTTCCCATATTTGGATAAAGTAGGGACACTGTGGTGTTGCAGGGAGCATGGAGCTGGTCAGAAGAGATAACCAGAGGTGGATGTGCCATTATTAGAGGACCACAGAGTGGACCAGGCACAGACGCACAAAGGAAGGGAGCCCTGACAGCAGGCAAGGAGATGACCTTATAAAGACAAGGTGTTCAGCAGGAATGAGAGATCACATATTCAGTGGTGGGTGACAATTCAAGGAAGCCAACATGTAGGAGGCCACAGTCTCATAGTGACCAGGATGGACAACTGGAGAACGAGTCCATAGAAAGATGCAGACATGTGGATTCATGTAAGTATACAAGGTTGCACAGATTACACTACAGAGGTAGTTTTATTTGAACAAGAACTCCTGAGTAACAGCAACCATGCAGACAGTGCAACTCTTCCACCAGGCCATGAAAAGCCTTTCCCTATCCCTCTCTTACCCAAGGTACAGGCCTGGTCTCCACTGGGTATTTATCCAAGTTCAAGTTACTAATGAAGTTGCCCAGTGCAGACCAGAGCACATCCAAATACTGAATGGCCTGGCTGCATGTATGGCTGAACCACATCAGAGCAAAGCATGGCTTTTAGCCACCTGGTCTCTCTCATGCACGTGGCTGCAGCAAATGGAGGAATCCCCAGCACAAATACAAAATCAAGAGCATGAGCAGTTTGCCAGAAGAGGTTTTTACTGGAAACACAATATATGCCAGGAGAGACTTTTCAGTCGACCTAATTACACCCCCTCCCTTGCCCACATGAGACATTAACTAGGCTGACAAAAGCACTCTTCTGCTGGCATAGCTGTGCCTACACTCAGGGTTTTGCTGGCATAGCTGTCAGCCAGAGGTGCATGTGGTTTTAATTTTCACACAACTGGCAGCATCAGAGGCAACTGATGGTACCACCTTAGTCGGGGGGGAGGGGCATATGCCCCCCCAGCAACCAATCAGCAACCAGTGGGGGGGGTCCCCATGGCCAATTCTTGCTGACCAGAGGTGGGGGGGGATACCCCCCACAGCAAAACTCACTGACTGGGAAGCAGCCACAGCACTACATCCGGCACTTCCACTCCCTGGCTGGCGCTTGCAATGGGGCCACTGGCACTCCCACCTGCCCCCTGACCCATTGCCTAAGCAGGGAGCATGGCCAGTCAGGGGGTGCACATGAACCCGTGCACCCCCTATGCCTCCCCACGGGGCAGCATAACCATGACAAAAACTCTGCAGATCTGGCCATGCCTCACGTCCCGCTGTCAGGGGTGGTGGGAGAGGCAGCATGACAAGGGAGAGAGGCAGACACTGTGAGGGGCTACTGGAGGGCAAGGACAGAGCTGGGGAAAAGAACCACAGAAAAGGAGGGTTGGCAGGGACTTCAGGAGGTCACATCTAGACCATCCCCAACTAGATCATCCCAGCCAAGGATTTGTCTACCCAGGTCTTAAAAACCTCCAAGGATGGAGATTTCACCACCTCTCTGGGTAACCTGTTCCAGTGTTTTACTGCCCTCCTAGTGAGAAAGTTTTTCCAAATATCTAACCCAAAGTTCCCTTGCTGTAACTTGAGCCCATTCCTGCTTGTCCCATCATCCACCACCACAGAGAGCAGCTGATCTCCAGTCTCTCTGTAACCCCCCTTCTAGTAGTTGAAGGCTGCTATTAAATCCCCACTCAGTTGTCTTTTCTCCAGACTCAACAAGCCCCGTTCCCTCAGCCTCTCCTCACAAGTCTCGTCCCCCAAACCACTTCTGCTGCCCCCGCTAGACTCTCTCTGATCTGTCCACATCCTTCCTGTAGCAGGGCCCAAAACTGGACCCCAGGCCCCCGAGATGGGCTCGGGCGGGAACGTGTTGAGGGCTGACACAGGCCCCCCCCCTTGCAGCGCCCCCCGCACAGCCCCA